GGAGCCATCCTCTCCCCTCCAGCTCTCTTTGGCACCCTGGTCTCTTTCTACCTTGGGTCTTTGGACCCCACGGCCAGCCAGTTGCAGGCGCTGCTGGGTGTTCCTGTGAAGGATAGAGACTGTACCTCCCGGCTGGATGGGCACAAGGTCCTCGCTGCCCTGCAGGCCATTCAGGGCCTGCTGGTCACCCAGGGTGGGACTAACAGCCAGGCACATCTGCTGCAGTCCACTGTAGTGGGCCTCTTCACAGCCCCAGGCCTCCGCCTGAAGCAGCCATTTGTTCAGGGCCTGGCCCCCTTCGCCCCTGCTGTCTTCCCACACTCTCTGGACTTCACCAACCCAGGTCTTGCCACTGAGAAAATCAACAGGTTCATAAAGGCTGTGACAGGGTGGAAGATGAACTTGCCCCTGGAGGGAGTCAGCACAGATAGCACCCTGCTTTTCAACACCTACGTTCACTTCCAAGGTGAGGCAAACCCTTGGGTCAGCCCTGGCCCTGGCTTGTACCCGAGGTGGCGCCTGGGTTTCCATGGCATCCCCATGGCCCATGTGTGGGATGGGCTGGGGTGGCCTCTGTGTTGCTGGCAAAGCCCTGGAGCCTCAGGAAGCAAACCTGGCTTAAGAAGGCACAGCCCCACTTCCCTACCCCACAGGCCTTCTGTGCTGGGTCATGCGCCTGTGTCTTGAGAAGCCTGGGACTAGAGTGGCTGACCCAGGCAGGAACACCCAGCTTACTCGCTCACATAGGGAATCACCCATATATCCCTGTCTGGGAAGTTGTTTATTCATGCAACCAACTCTTACTACTTGTAAGACTGGACAGGCGTCTCAGAGGGGCAGGAGATTCTGACCCTTGCCCCCCAGGTTTCTTATTTAACATCAGCAAGTATGGAGACCCCGGGGGCAAATGTCTGAGACATCACTACAGGGAACAGTGCTAACTGTGAGGTGGAAGGGAGTGAGTGGTAACAGGCTGCTGGTGAGGGCCACGGGCAAGCATCCTTGCAAAGCCTCAGGAGATCAGGGAGGGGGTAAGGGCGGAGGGCTGGGCAGAGACCGAACACTCTGTGGGGAGTGCTTCTTCTCCAGTGCGCTGATTAGGACAGTTTTATTCATAGGATGTCAGTCTTGTGGCCTGTGACAGCACTGCGGGTGTGTGTGTGTGTGGGAAGTGCCATCCAGAGGCATGCAATGGTCCAAGTACAGTGTCCTGGGGACATGTGCAAGGGGGCCGGATCTTCAACTGGTGGCTACTGGGGGAGGGGCAGACCGATGGGAGCCCGCAGGAAGACGTGCCAGCCTGGAGTGGAGGTGGAGGGCTCAGTGCGCCTGATGCCTCGGCCACTGTGATAATACGTTTGCAGTCTATAAACTCACATGGGGAAAGACCTTGGCCTGCCTGCCTTTGAGACTGAGAAAGGAAGAGGTCAGAGTGTTAGAGGAAAGAAGCAGCCCTGAGGCTGCTGAAGGGTGGCTAAACTCTGTAAACTGAAAAAGACCCTCGAGCTAAGCCACCGTCCGTGTGAGGAAACCTGGGAAGACTGCCATTGAGAAAGGAACGCTTCCAAAGGGCAAAGGTGTCAGCCATGGCTTAGTTTTTGAGACAGTGTCTTACCAAACCTGGGCCTTGCCGTTTCAGCTAGACTGGCCAGTGAGCTCCAGGGGTCCTCATATCTCTGCATCCCCAGGGCTGGCATTATAGACCTGCACTGCCTTTTCTGGCTATCACAGGGCTTTGGGGCTCAAGGCACAGGTCACGATGCTTATAGAGCAAGTAGTTTATCCGTGGAGCCGTCTCCCTAGACTATGACCTCTGAGTTCGTAAAAAGTGAGTTGGCAAACAGAATGGATCTGGGTTGCATCTGCCTGGTCAGGCAGGAGCAGACTGAGTGGTCCCTGCAGGTGACAGGTGTGAGAAATCAGACTCCTCACCAGCATGCATTGCTGTGTTTTCTGCTTCTGTCAGGGCGTCTGTGGGGAGCTCCAGTGGCTGGGATCTGCAAAGGAGTATCAGAGAGCACCTGAGGGTGAAGTCTCCAGGCCACGCCAGTGCAGCTTCATGGCAGGGCAACTAAGTGAGGCAGGCAGGAGCAGGGGCAGGAGAGTCCCTCCCTCGCTCTCCCATCCCACCCCCACTGAGCCTTCCTCCTGGTCTCTGTGGCTTTCAGGGAAGATGAAAGGCTTCTCCCAGCTGGCTGGACCCCAGGAGTTCTGGGTGGACAACAGCACCTCAGTGTCCGTCCCCATGCTCTCGGGCACTGGTGCCTTCCAGCACTGGAGCGACTCTCAGAACAACTTCTCGATGACGCGCGTGCCCCTGGGTGAGAGTGCCACCTTGTTGCTGATCCAGCCCCACTGCGCCTCAGATCTAGACAGGGTGGAGGCCCTCATCTTCCAGCATGACTTCCTGACTTGGATAAAGAACCCGCCTCCTCGGTAGGAAGTGCGGGACCCTTGGAAAGTAGAGTTGAATGAATGGCAGCCATTGCATGCTCCCATGTCAGTCTATCCGTGTCTGTCCACACACACAGTGTGTCCTGTTGCTGCCCCCCCCCCCCCCATCCTTCTGTCATGAGCAGTGTAGCTGTGGATATGGCTCGTTATCTGTGACTATCCAGATACTCCCTCCACAGGGAGGCAACCGGGGCTGTCTTAGGCTTACTACTGTTGTGATGAAACCTGAGGACCAGGAGCAACTTGGTGAGAGCAGGTTTATTTGACTTACATATCCTGAATCACAATCCACTGAGGGAAGCCAAGGCCGAAGCTCAAGCTGGGCAGGAGCCTAGAGGCAGGAGCTGATGCACAGGCCTTGGGGGATGCTGCCTACACGCTTACTCTCCTCATGGCTTGCTCAGCCTGCTTTTAGAGCACAGGACCACCAGCCCAGGAGTGGCCCCACCCACAATGGGCTGGGCCCTTGCACATCAAACACTGATTAAGAAAATGCTTTACAGGTTTGCTTGCCTACAGCCTGATCTTAGGGAAGCATTTTCTCAATTGAGTTTCCCTCCTCTCAGAAGACTACAGCTTGTGCCAAGTTGACATAAAACTAGCCAGCCCAGGGGTCATTATCTTATTAGTATTTTGGTTTTTAGAGAGGGTCTAGAATTTGTGGTAATTCCCCTGCCTCAGCTATGTGGCTAGGGTGAGAACAGAGGGCAGACAGCTGCCCACCATCAGCAAGCTCTCCGCAGGAGCTGTTCCAGGTCCTCCCGTTTCAGGCCACGGGGAGGTTTTTGTTGTTTCTGAGAATTTCCTTGGGGTGAGGATGTCCTGGATTGGGTGACCCTTCCTGGGGAGACACAAGCAAACATCTCTTCACCCCAGATGGGGCATTGACTACAGACCAAAGAACCAATTCCCTCCAAGTCGAATTTGGTCATTCAGCGCATTTATTGGGTTTATTTTCACGAGTGTGAGTGCATCACCAAGAGCCCACCACGGCATGGGTGACCACTCATGAAAGCTGCATCCCTGGGGCCCCCTGCACAGCCTGGAGGCAGCTCTACCAGTCTCCTCTCCCCAGCAATTGTTTCCTGTTTACACAACACTGGGGAGGGGCTTTCTGAGGCTTATGCACCTCTTTCCAGAAGGGACCGTCCCATCTCAGGACACAGCTACACAACACTGACTGGGTGAGGGCTCAGGACCTCCTCCTTCCTAAGTGGGTGGGAGCTCCCCAGCCCCCTAACAGCATTATCTCCACAGAACCATCCGCCTGACCCTACCCCAGCTGGAAATCCAAGGATCCTACAACCTACAGGACCTGCTGGCTCAGGCCAAGCTGTCCACTCTTTTGGGTGCTGAGGCAAATCTGGGCAAGATCAGTGACCCCAACCCCAGAGTGGGAGAGGTGAGTGCTGCTCCGGCTGTGCCCCGGGGAGGGAGGGTGGATGCGATATGGAGGAAGCTGTGGACAAGGCCAGCAGGGCAGGAAGAAAACACATGGCTGGTAGGCACTGCCAGCACTTTCTGGCATCCCAGTAACATGCAGAACAGCAGTCTCCCACTCAGCTCTCCTGCTGCCTCTAGCTCCAGGTCCGTCTCTGTCCCTGCTCAGTGCAGCCTCGCATCCCCCAAGAAGCTGTAGTAGGTTAGGACGGGAAGAATGACCCCAATGCCCTGATCTGTAGTTCCTGTGGGGAGCAGCTCAGCAGTAGACAGAGAATTACATAAAACAGAGGATGTGTCGGGATACTATTGGCATTGTGCTAGAAGCCGGGAAACAAAGAGGGATTACTGTAGAAGACATGATCCCACTGTGCCACTTGTCCAAATATTGGAGAGCAACATCAAGATGGCAGTGGAGATGAGATGTGGACATGGGGCATGCTGAGCAGGAGCCTCTATGGGAGCTGGGTGCTGATGCTCAGTGCCCACTTAGAGGACTGGTGTGTACACACCTCCTCCTAGCAGGCTGGACAGTGTCCTCCCTCAGGGCAGTCCAGCAGTCTCTAGCCTGCAAGTCCTCCTGAAGGACAGATGTCTCTGCTTTGCAGGTTCTCAACAGCATTCTCTTTGAACTCAAAGCAAGTGAGGAAGAGCAGCCAACGGAGTCTGTCCAGCAGCCGGGCTCCCTGGAGGCACTGGATGTGACGCTGAGCAGTCCGTTCCTGTTCGCCATCTATGAGCAGGACTCAGGTGCCCTGCACTTTCTGGGCAGAGTGGGTAACCCTCAGAGTGTGCTGTGAGACCTGGTGCCATAGGGGCCCATCAAGGCCTCATGTGCAGCTATGGAAACAAGGCTAGCTTCAGAGAGCTATCCTGGGCAAAAATCAGTGCTGCCACCCCTGGCTTTCCATCACTTCTTCTAGCAAGGCAGCGGCCATCTCCATGGAGACTATGCACTGCCTGAGAATAAACAGTGAGCACCAGAGCTGGCCTCCTGGGCTGTGGGTTTGTTCGGAGACCGGGTAAGAGCCAGGAGCTGGTACACAGCACAGACCACTGCTCTGCACAGGACTACCATTCTGGAAAGAATTTGGACCAAACAACTGTGAAACCAAAAAGCATTCCCTTTTTATTCAAGAACAAAACTTGGGTTTTAACATTAAAATACACATTGTCCCCTTGCTTTGGGCTTGTATTTAGCTCACCCAGTGTGAGACCATGACTTTCAGAGTCCCTACACCACCCTACGTTTTCTTACCCACGGCACATTTTGAAACACTGAATTCATACCAGTGTAACACCGCATCCCTTTGCTGAGAAACAGACATGGTTAGTTTAGCTGACAGGTTGAGCAAACGAAAGTTTCTGAAGCTCTTGGCAGAGAGGCCAATGTGTAACAGGAAGGAGAGTCCTGTCCCCAAGTTGCACTGAGAGAGGACCTGGGCAGAGGGTACATCCTTTACCCCAAAGACACAGGGTTGCTACTTGCTTCTCTGTCTCCTTGAGATTATACCCACAACTTGTGTGTGTGTGTGTGTGTGTGTGTGTGTGTGTGTGTGTGTGTGTATAGCAGGCTGCCTCTTCCCTGAACAAACAGGAAACCAGGTGAACAATGTAGCATGTTAGTCACAGGAAAAGGCCAGAGAGCACCTACGGGCAGCAGTAGATCCCATGGTGCATACAGTGGATACATTCTGTGTTAGCACATGGAATGGCCTCTCTGGCCTAAGCTGGAGTTTCTGACTCTGCATGAGCCTAACCTAACCTCTTAGACAGGGCTTGGGTCCTGGGAGTTGGGACTATAGGGTCCTGAAAGGACAGGTGGATTTTGTTCCTGTGGCCGAGGGCCATCCTGACAGAAGAGCTGTCATGCCCCTTGAGTCTCAGCTTTCCTCACCCTAGTCCTGTTCCCTCCTGAATACTCCTATCCGGCTTCCAATACCACAATGGCAGCTTGTCTGTTTTACAAGGCGGGTGTGGTTAACCCAATCAGGCCATCCACTGCTTGTGCCAGGCAGATGGGGAGGGACCTAGGTACCATGATGTGACCGGCAGCCAGTTCCTTATCCTCCCTGGCCCATGTGCAAACAGGAAATGCTAAGGTGAACAGATGAATTCTCATTCTAAAAGGCCCTGTTCCCGGAGGGAGGTGGAGTCAACTTCTCACTACTGTGATAAAACACCAGGCAAAAGCAACTGAAGGGTTTGTTTCAGCTCATGTTTGAGTGTTGGGGAGAGTGCGGCAGGAGCACAATTTGGCTGCTCCCTTCCTGTTAGGACACACAGGGACTGAATCTGGTGCTCACTTCACTTTCTTGGCCCATGGGATGCTCCAGTCCACTTTTAGGGTGGGTCTTCCCACATCTATTAACCAAGCCCAGGAACTCCCTCACAGGCACGCCCAGAGTTTTGTTTCTTGGATGATTCTAAATTCAATCAGGCTGGGCGGTGGTGGCGCACGCCTTTAATCCCAGCACTGGAGGCAGAGGCAGGCGGATCTTTGTGAGTTCGAGGCCAGCTTGGGCTACAGAGTGAGTTCCAGGAAAGGCGCAAAGCTACACAGAGAAACCCTATCTCAAAAAACCAAAAAAAGAAAAAAAAAAATTCAATCAGGCTGACAAGATGAAGCATCGCAGGAGTTGATGGGAGACAACAGAGGTGAACTGATATCCAGGCTGACACTCATCCCTTATGGAGCGAAAACTAAGTCCTTGAAGGCCACCCTCCCCTACAGCTGCCCAGACTCTTCAAGAGTAGATCTAGTTGTCCTCCACTCCCTGTCATGGGAACCCCTGACTAGGCAATCATAAGGCTAGCATAAGGCTGAGAGATGCCAGGGCCATGCAGGCTGCCTCAGAGGTTCAGGCTATCCCATACCTACCTGCTCTGTGATTGGGGTCCCAACATGCCACCTCCTCCACTCCTTGTTAGTCCACCACACCAGGACCCTGGGTTGGCACAGATGACACTCCACACGTATTTGCTTTAGCAGAGGAGCCTGAGCTTGGCCTGTGCCATCCTGCTAGTTGACCTGGTGTCAGTGCCTGGCGGGACACGGCACAACTGAGCTCTGCCTTGGGACAAGCTACAAGGCAAAGTAGGAGCTAGCAGAAGTTCTGCTGCTCAGAGACCTGTAGTCCTCGGCAGGAGCTTTGCCGGCTCACTCCAATTCCACCCTCAGCGCTCCGTGGGCTAGAATATGATATATACAGCATAGGATCCTCCCAACGGGACAGCTTGAGCCACAGGCCCTCAGAGGGAGGGAGCAACACAGATTTTGAACTTTTGCCTCCAGAACAGAATCATTTCTTTGATTCAACTACCATATCTGTGATCACTGAAGGCAGCCTGAGAAAAGAATGCATGCTCTTTGATTGCACGGGAGGGAGATGGTGGGCTGCGGGTGGGTCCCTGAATGACGGACAGGCCTCCTCCTTATAGTCCTCTTTTTATACCTGAAAGCAGTAAAGTGCATTGGGAATGGATTTTTAGTAAATCCATTACATTAGTAAATGTTGAAGTTGGAAAAATGTATTACTCTTAACTTTAAACCCAACTGAATAAAACTGAATCTCAACAGGGAAACTAAGGAAAAATAACAAGAGAGCTGTTTTGGGGGAGCCAGATCTAAGTCTGAAACTGTTAGCTTTGGCCTGAATGTCCTGCTCTCGAGTGCAGAAACATGACAGGGAGGCTGGAATGCAATGGCCCGGAGTCAGAGCCAATAGGGTAAGAGATTAGGCCTCAAGGCCCACTATGAACCTCCGTTTCTTTGGGCTGAGGCTGGTGTGTACATGTCACTACACAGACTGGCAATGTGAGTTTGGAGCCATTTATTCTGCCTTTAAATCCCACCTGTCAGTCACCTCAATGACAGGTTTGTGTTACCTATCTGTAGAATGGAAATAGCAATACTGGAGTTGGGCTGGGGATTGTGCTCTCTCCTTTCTGGGGTCAAGGGACACCCATCAGGGGACACTGATAGGCAGGGGTCCTTACGTATGGAAGCATATGAGTTCAAAGTGTAGCTATGACCTCTAGTGACTATCTTGTGACAGCACAGCTCCTTGGTAGAAGCCCATTCCATGCACCTGTAGCAGCTGCCAAGCAGACAGCGCTGACTAGCCTGAGTGGGACAGAATTCTGTGCTAGGAGATCTATCTACACAGATAGGACCCTTCTATCTGTGTCAAAGGGAATCATATCACTGAAAGCATGTATGATGAGGGCTACTTGGACTGAATTCATAACTTACACATTTGCAGCAGATACTTCTTTTATTTAGGAAAGGAATCTTTGCTGTCGGCTCTGGCTCCTGACAGAGAAGTGGGGTGGCAAGATTAGATGTGCTATTCTTAAGTGCCAAGATGGGATGGCCACCCTGGAGCCTCTGAGGAGGCCCAGGACTGACAGTATCTCCCAGGTTAGAGACAGTGTTTCTATACTGTGTTGGTGCCATGATGCCCAGGGCTTCCTCTGCAGGGTCCGGTCAGCCCACTAGCCACACCTGTATATTCAACAATACTGTAGAAATCAGCTTGTCTACACTAAGATCGACAATAAAAATAAAACAATTTGTTCAGTTATCTATAGTAAAAAGCGTCAAATGTCATAAAAACTATCTTCCATACAATGGAAAGGCTTCTGGTTCTTTCTGGGTGAAAGATGGCCCACTTCACTGGGCAGGGGTGCAGGCTGTTGCTGGGTGACTCAGAGGACAAGGGTCGCTTTCTTCCCCACTCCAGGTCCTACCAGGATGCCTAGGGCTGTTCTGCAGTTGCTTGGTCCCTGGCAGCAAGGACAAGCTCTGAGAGGGCTGGGAAGCTCTTGATGTCACTGGTCTGCAAGCCCATCTTTTGTATCTGCAAAGGCCATGAGAATGAATTGTCACTGTGAGGAGATCTGAGTGGGGAAAGAGGCCCCCATTAAAATCAGGACAACTTCATTTATCCTGCCCTCATTAAGGTAGAAAGCGTTCCCAAAGGAAGGAGGAAAAAGTCTCTGCTACAGCCAAGGACTGGTTTATTGCAAAACTGCATGTTTTGGGTCAAATGCTTCATATTCTAAGAAGCTAGCATGTTCGAATCCCTCAGTCCACCACACTAGACTGGCCAGGGTGAGAGTCTCTTCTGTGGGCTTCAGAAAATGCTAGGAGAGAGAGAAAAGCCCTTGTGCAGAGACTAATTTAAAAAAAAAAAAGATTCTTTAGCTAGAGAGTGTTCCATCAAGCACCAGCTGCGCTCTCCTTTTCCCAGCACCCTTCTCAGAGTGCGATGGACTGAAGACACACAGCACCTGAACAGCAGCAGAGACCACATAACCTCCCTTCCTTCTGCTTCTCACTCTGCCCATGCCTGGAGCAAGCTGTCCTGCTTGTGAGAAGACTGTAGATTCCTTATGAAATAAGCATGGCAGTTGATGTTTGCAGGCTGTCTGTCTCTTTATTTTTAAGACAGAGTCTCCCAATCTAACTCATGGCAATCCTCCTGCCTAAGCATCCCAAATGCTGGGGTAACAAGCTATGTGTAAACCCAGACTGTAAAGGAAGCAGTTTCCTACATCTGTAAATTTGGTGGTACTGAGGATATCACTGCAGCCGCCCCGCCTCCCCTCATGGGAGGTCTACATGCTGCCATCAGCCATCTACCACGACCATGCCTTGAAAATCAGTGTTTTATAGGACACACAGCAAGAGGTCGCAGGTCCTGCCACTGGTTCAGGACTTGGGGCAGCAAGGGCAGGTATGCTGACAGCCTGAGCAAATGCTGAAGCACCAGGGCCAAGCTTGCTGCTGGGAGGGATGCTCTGCATGCCTCTACCTCTTCTATCTTCCACTTCCTGGCAGGCAGGCACCCTCCTCCTTAGCAGTTGGGCCTGACTCTTCTATCACTAGTCCTAGGGAGGTAACACCCAGCCTTGGCCCCAGCCAGGCCCTCAGAGCCAGGCTCAAGGTGCTGGTACCTGTTCTCCCAGGAACTCCACATCCAGGGCCAGCTGCAACCGGATCTTGTCATCATCACTCATGCCACCGCTGGAGCTGACGGGGTTGGTGGCTGGGGCTCTCCTGGCCTGTTTGAGGCGCTTCAGGCTTTCCTCCATCTTCTTCACTGAGTCCAGCACATCGGACACAGTCTCAAAGTACCTTGGGCACGAGACAGTAATGAAGGGTTGGTAACTAAGCAGATATTGGTGACACCAAGCAGGAATTTGCTTTGCAAGCAAGATAGTCTTAAGATGGCAATGACATGCACAACAGCTCAACTGGGAAATGTGCTGTCATGTTTCCTAGGTCTCCAGCACGAGGTACCCTGAGAACTTAAGAAATGAGTGTACAGGGGCTGGAGAGACGGCACAGACAGGGGAGTCACAGTTTTCTGGTCAGCCAGCACAGCTGAATTGGTGAGCTCGAGGCTCAATAAGACCCTGTCTCAACAAGGTAGAGAATGATGGAAGACGACACTGGTAACTGACCCCTGGCCTCCCGTGTACATACAAATAGAAACACCAGTCCTAAACACAAGTGCCCGAGGGCAGGTCCTTTCCAGGTGGAGGACCCTCTGCAGCACGTCCCAAGACCAGTCAAGCAGTAATGAAGGTACTGCCTCTTAAAGTACAAACCTATCTCAGGACTTTCAAAGACGCTCACTTACCCCCAAACTCTCATTATAACATTAAAATCAGTCACTTTCTCGCCTGGTTAGCAAGCTGGCTGTTTGGCACTGGGGCTTTATTTGCCTACAAAACCACAGGATTAGGCACTATTGGCTCTAAACTGACCCACAACAAAGTTGGGGGCTGAACTCGGGGGAAAAAAACTCTACTGCAAATGGTGACTAATAATTAAATCAATAGCAAAATGAAGCAATAAACTTCTTCCCTCTTTTGTGGTGTTGGGATAGAACCCAGGACTGTAAGAATGCTAGGCAAACACTCTACCAAAGGGCCAAGAGGTGATTCCATTAGCCATAAGTTAGCTAGAAGAGATTAAATGAACTGTTCCTGACTGGGGCCTTCTGCTGTGATTACAGTTTACATGCAGACTTCCTCTTCTCACCAGAAGCCATCCCGTCATTTAGTGGGGACCAGGTGGAGTGACAGACAGCTGAGGAGAGGAAGGACTGGCTGGGCTGAGCAGGGAGGGCAGTAAAGGTACCCCTGGAATTCAGGGTTGGGGACTCACAGAACCCGGGTCAGCCTGACTGTAATGCAGGTGGAGGAGGGGTGGGTAGGGAGGGACTGGACCAAGAGACTGCTCACACCTTGCCCATGGGCAGTTCTGTGATATCTTGCTGATATATCTATGTGCAACCCAATGCTCCAGGAAGCCCTGCCATGCCTTCCCCAGGGTGTACAGGCAGCCTCCAGCATCCGTTAGCTTACTTGTGTGTGCTCTCAGACAGGGCTTCCTGCAGCCATTGCTGCATCACTGCTGGCTTCACCTTGTCCCCATGTCCACGCTGGAGCTCGTAAAATGGCTTCAGTGCACTGTCCACGTAAGAAGAGGCTGTGCTGGGGACCTCCTGGAATTGTCAGCAGGGGAAGGACATAAGGAAACGAAAAAAGAGTCATCATACCATCATTATTCAGCAAACAGCGTCATCCCTCCCAGAAAGTAACCAGAGGGCCACAGAAGTCATCTAGGGACATAGTGTACCAAGGAAGAGCCCCCTGCCCCATACCTGCCCCTCGGCTCTAGGTCAGGCTTGACTCTGGGGCAGGATGCACAGGGCTGAGTACTGACTCCTCCACGAGGAGATGCCCAGGGCTGGTTTTAGATCCTGCTGAAGCAAGGATGGCACAGGGGACTTGGTTCCTTACTCTACAGGTGAAGATTGCCCTGGTGCCCAGTGGAGACTGATGTGCTCTACAAACTCACACACCATGACGCCCACAGAATAGAAGGAAATGGAAGGCCCCTGGCAATGTGTCCAAGCCCCTCCCATCCAAGTGGGGGCTTCAGGCTCAACAACAAACAGTAAAACAAGATACTCCTGTTACATGATAATTCTACTGCAGAACTAAATCTGTTTCATTTGTTTTTTGTGTCAGAGTCTGACTTTGCAGCTCAAGATGGAATCAAATTTGTGATCCTCCTCTTAGCCTCCCAAGTGCCGGGATTACATGTGTAAAATAAATCTAAAATAAAATTTTTAATAGTTTTCTTTTTTTAAAGAAAGTACTTTTCTAGCCAGCTGTGGTACTGCATGCCTTTAATTCCAGCACTCCAGAGACAGAGGCAAACCAATCTCTGTGGAGCTGAGGCCACCCTGGTTTATATAGTGAGTTTCAGGCTAGTTAGGACTCACACGTACAAAAAAGTACTTTTCCTTAAGACCCAAAGCCCACAGGCCCCAAGTGCACACGGGGTGCACTGTGGTGGCAGCCAGCTCCTGACCCTTTGGAGTCCCTTACCTCAGTCCACCCTGATACCTGCCTGTGGCCCACATCTCCGACCACACACACCACAGAGCTCTCTCCAGAGTGACACTGACCTTATTGGTCCTGCGGTAAAGCCTGGGCACCTCCAGGGCACTCTTCAGATAACTGAAACAAGACTCACTCAGGTCCTGGACAATCCTGCTGCTCAGAGCTGGCATGTGGGCAGACAAGGAACTCTGAGAGTCTTCCAGAGCCGCTGTGGACACAGGGCAGCTGGACTGAGTCAATGGTCCAGCCTAGGGTAAGCTCCATTAAAGTGTGACCACAGCATTTAGAGTGCACTAATAAATCATGTCATTGTATAAATCAAGGATCTCATTTACAGAAGTTAAAGAACAAAACACAGAAACAACCAAGGATTTACAACTGGAGCTTGGATGTTAGTTTAAATATTCCTTGCAGTCTATGGCATTTTACTTGATGTTATTTCTTATTCAAAGATTCTGAGTCTGGATTAATTTTTTACCTGAGATAGATGAAAAATTCTTAAAGCCGATCATTTCAAGTTTTGGCTTGACTATCTCCAGGAGTTCTGGAAGCTGAAACACACATTTTGGACACTAGTTTCTTCTTTCAATCAGAACAAGCGGCTTTTCACCCACATACTCAGACATGATTAACCAGTGCTGAAACCTAAGCCAGAACTCGTAGGTCAAAGTTCCCATCAATTGGCACAGAAGCACTAGGCATGGGACACTGGCTACATGGCCACTGAGGGCGGAGGAAAAGCAAAAACTCATTCTGCAGCTCTCCACCACACAGAAACTGCTCATAGTAAAGAGACCATGTTTTCTCAGAAAACACAATGCATTTATTCAATCACACAAAATATAAACGGTGGAAAGCAAAATCTACTTGAAGGCATAAACTCTATGTGTGTCCCATAAAGTTCTCTTGAGAGCTAAACATGGGCTCGACAAAGAAAACAGATGGGGAACTTCTCAAACATTTGGGGCAGTGAACTACAATTACAACCCAGTCCACCACAGGCCATGCCCCAGCAGAGCTGAGCTGAGGAGGAGGGAAAAGTAGAGCCTGACTGCTCAGTGGTTAGGTTACTCGCCAGGAAGTGAAGATATGGCACACTCAGAGGTTAACCGTGGAGAGGACAAGTAGGGAAATGTCCTCTAGGGCAGAATGTCCTTGCAGGGTCCCCGTGATCCCACAATTTACAGATCCATATATCCACCAGTGACGCTCACCCATTCCTGAAGTCTGTCCAGGTCTGCAACCACATACACCAGCTGAGTGCTGGAAATGGATGCTGCCTGTACTTCTGAAGGATGGCTTCCTTGGTCTTCGGAAGGGTCTTTGCTGCCAGCCAAAGGTTTTTTAGTTTCCTTGGTGCTTTCATTAGAAATAGGCCTGACAGAAAGCTGGGAAAAGATTTCAAGGATCACTCAATGACTCTGAGACACAGGGCATTTGTATATGCTCAGGAGCTCTGTACACACACTAGCTGTTTGCAGAGTTGAATGCACAAACACCAAGAGAAGGCTAGCATGTCTATCCCAGGCAGGTTTTGGCTCTGCTCTTCTTGGGACTGCTGTTCTTCGCTGTGTTCTGAGACAGCCAGTGGGGCAGGACAGTCTGAGGAAGTCTTTGAGCAGATGGGAGGGAGGAGAGAGAGAGAGGCCCTGACTTTCACAGAGCGCCCATCCCACCTGGCACCTCAGCTTAGAAATAAACCCTCACCACAGCCACATACAAAAGCCATTTTGCCAAATTACAGAACAGAGATTCAAGGTGCTTAACGTTCCAAGCCACAGGGTAACAGCTGGCAGAGCTATGGCTAGACCTCAACTGCTCCAAGCCTGTGCTCTGCTCCAGAGTAGGGTGTGCCTGTTACGGCACTGCCCTCTTTGTGGTGGACTTCTTTTTAAAGACTACCCCATTTATAGATCCTGCACCATGAGGACTGGCTTGTGTGTCTGTCACTGAGGGTGTCCCTGAGGTGGCTCTCAAGACTGAGGTCTCAAGACTGGTGCCCAGTTCTTAGTAGTACCGACCTCCTGGGGACGAGAGCCCTGGGCTTCACTGATTTGCAATAACTGAGCAGTGCCTGGAGAGCTAATACATTTGACTGGCTGAAGAAGATAAGGAGATCCTAAAATGGAGAGTAACTACTTTTATTTTGATGATCATATGACCGTTTAAAACTTAAACCTATTTACTTTCATTTCTAATATTTTTCATTAAAATGAACATTTTATTTCCGAGATGCTTTAGGGAGTCTGATTTTGAGAAGAGAAACAAACTTATTAAGTGGGAATTCTCAATAACTAATCCCGATCATGTGGCCAGGTGCCCACAGCTGGATCTAATACCATGGGACACTTTGACTATCCTGTGGGTGTTTAGCCACACGCCAATCCAAGTCCTCCAAGTGCTAACTGTAGAGAGGGGCGGCATGCTACTCACCTCACTGACAAACACAGAGAATCGGGCCAGAATCTGTAGTGTGAGCCTCCACAGACGGTGTGCCAACAAAGGCAGGAACATCTCATCAGACCAGCATTTCTCCAGACTGCTCCATGTTTTGTGAGAAGCCAATAGGCAATATGGACTTCCATCTGGAGAAAAACCATGGACCCAGGGCATATCATTGGGTTATAGCTGCCACTGGCATACAACTCAAAGTAAAGCACAGGCATGCTGTGGCCTCATGGCCACAGAGATGCTAGATTAGAACAAGACCATGTGTCTTCGGTGTGAGGTGTTTGATAACTCACCTGACATTGTTCCCCAGGCACGGGGGTTAGCATCAAACACAGCACTGAACTATCTTTTAACGGGTACTTTATACACACAATGGCGCGTGGCAGCTTGCAAGGCTTAAATTTCAGGTTTTACCCTCTCTTCCCTACCTCAATATGGCTACTATCCACACAGAGGAGGTTAATCCCTTACGACTACTTTTGCAGAGATGAACAGAAACAACTCCACAACTCGGTAAGAGTAAGCCTGGGATAGACCTGGCTGTGTTAGAGCAGGCACTTAAGTAGGAGAACCAGGAACTTGTGTGGCACAGAAATACTAAATGTCTCAATGGCTACCAAGAATGGTGTGTCATGAACATGAACACCTGCAGCTGCCATCTGCCCAGAATCCCAGGAGGCCTAGCTGTGCTCCAACTGAGTCTTTCCCAGCAAGAGACAGGAACATGCAGACCCATGTTCAGCCTTCACATAGCTGAGTTGGGGGCAGGAAAGAAGGTGAACTGCCAAAGCCTACACACAGCTGACTGAATCTATAGCATTCTACACTGGATGTGCCTAATCTCAACAGTGCTGGCCACAGAGTCTGGAATGTAGTGACCACACACACAGGTACAGGCCTGACATGCTGCATTTATGATGGAAAAGGTCAATTTTGAACTCTGTAAAGCATCCCTTTCTATCATCTCTCCAAAGCAAGAAATTCAAAGAGCCAAAAGACTGTTGTCTTTTTGCTGCATAAAAACAGAAATTTCTGAGAACTTGGCTTACTAGTAGAGTGCTTGCCCAGCATATTATGGGAGCCTGGGTTCAGCAGTACATTTTTTAAAAGAGGTTAAGCCAGTGTCCTTACAGCACAACTTACTGTATGGTGAGAAAAGGCAGGAGCACTTCGGGACCAGGGTTGAGCTGGCTGGTGAGCTCAGCTAACCCCTTTAGGGACACCTGCTGTTTCCATTCTAAGGTTACCTGGGGCGTCTTCTAGCCCGTCTGTGAGTGATGCTTCTAAGGATCCTGCCACTTCTCTAAACCTGAGAAAGAAGGACATGGATCAGTGTCGGCGGTTCTGCAAATGCTGTTCCTTGCTTAGTCTCCTTTCCTGCCCACTGACACTCGATATTCTCAAGGATGTCCAAGATGCCCTTTTTCTTTTTACTGTGTAAGAAATAAACTCCTCAATTAAGCCACTTTTCTGCACAGTTCTGTGCTATTTGCTCTAGTCTCAAATACACACCATCTAAGCCTTATTAAGAGGATTCCCTTAAGTTCCACTTTATAGTTACACTTCAAGGCCACATAGTGCATCTCTAAATCCCTACATCAGCAATACCACAGCCAAGAAACGTCCCAAACTAAGACACAGGAAAGCTGGCTTTGCACCTGCGTTTGTCACTTGAGAGAGACTTCTAAGGTCCCTGTCAACCCTGGGATCACTGAACATGCCCTTCAGCCTCTGCTGACCTTCCCGCTGCTCCTACATCCTGATGATAGCCAGTTCCCAGCATCCAAACACCCATCCGATCTGATTTCACTAACAGAGACAGCATATTTTCCTGACTGCAGAATGAAGGTGTTCTACTTATCTGACAACTGGCTGCTTCCATGGACATTGTTTCCAACCACACCAACCTCTGCACATTCTTGTACTTGCTAACTCCCTCACTAACAGCTATCTCAGTGACACTTTTACAGTCACTCCATGGAAATGAGCTGTGCAGATGCTGGGGAAGCCTACACTAGGCTGGCCTTGGCAGAGGGAAGGCACGAAGCAGAGAGAGAAGTGGTGAGAGCTGCAGGAAGCAGCCCCCAAGGGCAAGGACTAGAGAAAGGGCTGTAGGCAGCAGCAGTACACAGCAGCTCCTAGAACTCTGCCTCAGCTCCACAGCATCTTTCAAAATCTACACAAAACACAGGAAAGGAGCCTGATGCAGAGGCCTAGGGCCTGGCTCCACTGTCCACAATGGAAAGGTGGAGTCTAAGAGGCCCAAGGTGAGGATGTGTCATGTCCCGGTTGGGGTACTCAGTGAAGAATATAGTACCAAACACAGAGCATGATACTAGAAAGGAAAACAGGATTAGTTTAGCAAACTAGGTAAAGGCACATGGCGCCAAGTTATGTGAACATTTATGACAATTCACAGAAATGATGGAAAGGGAGTCCTGACAACTAGCACTCCACATAGCAATAGCACATCTGCTGGTGAGCCAAGAAACACAACTCAGAAAGAAAGGCCAAGACAGCAGGCATATGACTGCCGTAGGGAGGCCAGTGCCTTGCAGAGCTGCTGACCATGATGGTGAACCCTGAGCACCCATGCTGTGACCTTCAGATGCATTAGAGTGTCACTGTCCATGGGATCTCAGTAGGAGAGGAAAGACATCTAAACACTAACATTTGGGTTTGGGGAAAGACTCCACCCACACTCCTCCCTGAGCATCATGGTCTACAGGAAAGTAAAAGTCTTACAAAATGACACCTGTGGCAGCCTAGAGTAGAGGGTGCTGCTTTCTCTCTGCTCTAAGTACCAGACGGCATGAAAGCATATATGATCCGTGGACATGCAGCTCTGAGAATGGGGAATAGGGAAATGGGGTGAAGATACCTAAACCTTCATATCATGGATTCCACATCATAGAAGGAACTACAAATCATACACTCACTAGAATGTTCTGGGAGCACATTCCAGAAACTTCAGTTTGAAGGCCAGCACCCCTCTGTACAATCTGAAGCTGTCTGGGTCATGTGTGCATTTACTCTATCCACTAGGGACTAAACGTAGATCTACTTTCCAACATGCCTGTAAGGGCCAACGTCAAGCAGACAGATCAAGGTCTCTGGAATGAGCAGACCTAAGATGTGCTCATGAGAAAGGCTGTGGGCTGGGCTGCCTTTTCCTGAGGGTGGGCATGCAGTGCATGTCAGGTGCGGCAGTTCACACTGATCCTGAGAGCACATTAGTGTATCTTAGGAAAATGTCCGAATCCCAGAATCCTATCCTAGGGCTTCCCTTTTGTGTTTTTGGTTTTTTGAGACAGGGTCTCCCAGAGTAGTCCAGTCTGGAATCTTCTCACCCTGCATCATAAATGCTAAGTGACAGGTATATGCATGCCACCACATCCTGACTCAGGTTTGTTTTAAATGGTCCTGAAGTATTTGTGGTGATCGTGTCATTCTGACCTCAGCCATGGTGGCAGAGCTGTCATAGAATAGAATAAACACCCAGTGCAGAATCTCTACTTGCATTATTTCTTAGATGGAAGAACAGCGGCACTGAAAAGAGCTGCACTTTATAATTCAAGCACAATCTTAAAATTGCAAATGAGACAATATATGAAGGCTAATTCTTCAAACGCCTAGGCAAATCTGGGGACAAGGGGAGTTTCTGCAGAGACTGGTTGAGTTTCAGTATGGTTTTAGCTGTCAACTGGAGCCATGGGTAGGGCTCCTCAGCACCTGTGGGTAGGCAGGCTTGGGTGGCTGGAATGCGGTATGCTAGGTGGCTTAGACCTAAAGCAGTCTAAGCAGAACCCAGGCCAAAGGAGCACTGGGGACCCAGCGCCGACTCTGTTACAGTCCTGCTCACAGGAACAGTGCTGTGCTGCTTTAAATGCTACACCTGGACCCTGAGCTGTCCCACCCTGGCTCCACTGATGCTCATGGACAACTGTCTCAGTGCAGACCATGGGTCTCACATTAGCAACCCTTTGTTTCTTTCTGAGGAAGTGACCGTGGGAAATGACAAGCAAGCTCAGGGCATGGGGACAAGGACATCTGGCTCAGGACAGTGTAACTCTGCTGTTCAACAGTGACCAGGTGAGCAGCTCTTACAATTAGGGTAGCTAGCTGCCTCCTGATGTTGTTTCACTCAGCAATCCTCTTCAGAGCTCCACGTCATAATCTGTGAAGCACCTGGCCACCCGAACAAGAAAGACTGCGCTCTTCATGGAACACGCCACTCACAAGCTTCAGCACTGCTCCTGGACAGGACCTGCCCCACCTCCCTCGGGATACTGCAGAAATGGCAGCTCCGCTCTGTTTGCTTCTTGGGGCAACAAGCTGCTAAGGACTTGTCTGAATTTCGCAGCACTCTACAGACTTGCGTGTTGACATAGGTGACAGATCATGAGATCTGGAGGGGAAGTGTCACTGTCTTCCAGGTCAGGGAACAAAGGTCATAAAGGTCACAGGGGAGAGAAAATAACCACGTGCTCTTCCCAAGCTGAAGTGGGGGACACAGAACCAAATACAGGGCCAGGACTGGAGGCAGATGGTGACTGGACAGGACAGAGTGCCTGCCATCCAGCACCTTCAGTACTCTTCACAAAACCAGAGGTACTGTGGCAATGAAGCCAGGCCTGGAGTCCAGCTTACTTCAAGTTCACTTTCTCTCCCACTACCAGAAAACACATGCTTTCTTGGTAGTTCAGCACTCATGATATATGGACATCCTCACTTTAATTCTGCCACCCACAGAGAACTGCTGACTGGAGTAATATCCCCTCCCCAAAATTGAAAAACCTTAATAATAATTTTAAGATGTTAATTAACTAGCAAATGCTTGTCAGTTGAGTGTGGTAACAAGCACCTTTAATCCTAGTAATTGGGAGGCTGAGGCTAGAGGATCATGATTTTAAGGCCAGCCTGAGCCACATAGCAAGACTATGCCTCCACCATGAAAAAGTCTATTTAGAAGTGACTGACCTTATCTGAAAATAAACAGGTAAGTTCCACTTATTGCTGAAGCTGTGATAGGCAGGGTGTGCTCGAAGTCGTTTCACACTGGCCTGGGATCCACACTGCCGTTCAAATCTCTGTACAAAATCCATGCTTACAGTGTATTTCTAGAACAAGAACAAACGGTGGGATTTTCTCTATCAGCAGCTAGACAGAGTCAGGAGCATATGCTGACAACTGCGGCCGAGACAGTAAAGCTCGAAAGAATCAGCTGGAGCCGACTCACCTTAGGGCAGCTTAACTCCCCAGCTTCCCACTCATCAGCCATGCCCAGAGTGGCTCTGGGATACTCTCCAGGACTCTTAGGGAAAAGCCCACATGGAGCCCAGGTGTCACACTACAAGTCCAGGGCTTTCTAAATGACATACTCCGGTTCCAGGGTAGCCCTGACCTTCGCATGGGATCACAGACAGGAGATTAGGCAGCATAATTCATCAGCATCTCTCTACATTCAGAAGTCATTTAAAGGGGGATGAGGAAAGAGAGGACCCATCAGATAAGATTCCTATCATTCCTGTGGGTGAGAGGTGAGAGGGCTGACTGACAGCACTGAATGAAATGGACCATCAGCACTGACTTAACCTCACAACTGTCTACAAGGGAATCATGACAACCATTCATTCCTCCTCCTCCAGACACAGCTAGGAATCACAGGAAGAGCACACTTGCCTTCTGTGGGGTCTCCACCCACTAAGTCCCAGGCTCCCTGCAAACCCTGCTGAACTTTTAGCTCTTTCTGGTAGAAAGGGCTCAATACCCTGTAACCAAATCCCTAAACTTAAAAGTTCCTGCAGATAGGGTTTCACTGCAGTCAGAGTCACAGGTCTTACAGTTCTTTCTGCTAGTTTGGGGTAGCTCTTACCCTCTGGGGGAGTCTAGGTGTAAGAACTGAGACTAAGGGGAATGCACTGACTCTGAAAACAGGGAAGACTAAGAGCCCAAAGGCCCACCCCCTTCAGAAGAAGTGTGGCATGGGCTTCAGGCTGGAGGCATTTATTGAAAGAAGTGATAGAAACCCACAGAAACTGCAGCCACCAACACTGGGCCTGAAGGCCTGCTCGGACCTGGTCTGGAATTCTGGAGTTCAGGTTCTCTCAGAAAGATTCCCTTCTGAGCCCAAACCTCTGCCTAGTCACCTATGGTCCATATGAGTCTCTAAAGAACACAGCAAAACAGAAAGCTCCCTGATCAGCTAGAGTCCATACGGCACTTTCACCCCACTTATAGTATCCAATCTAAAAAACACAATAGTTTTTAAAATTATAAAACCTGGTTACAAACCTTATCAAAACACAAGTCACCACATTATTCAACATTTTACATGCAGGACAAACAGCACAGTGGGTTTCTCTGGCACAAGGAAGCTCCAGACTCGTCTGAACTAAAGTCCACCAGTTAAGTTACCTGTACTTCTAGACAGTTGAAAGTCCTAACAGATTAAACAGGCAGATTAGAAAAAGCAAAAAGAACTAGAAGTGACTGTGATGGCAATTAACACCGAGCTCTGAACACTCAGGAGAGACAGTTCAGACAGAACTGAAGAAAAAGCTCTGTCCCGAGAAGAAAGGCCCCCAGCATCATCTGGGGTCTGCAAAGGGCCAGGGCAGGATGAAAGACAAGACAGCTGAAGAGACAGCACCCAGGACACTGCAGAATGAACCAATACTAGTCCTCAGTGCAGGATCCCCAACAGAGCCAAGGCTTGCTACCTCCCTAAACGTTACACACCAGAAAGGAACGTGCGTGGCACACGTGTGGGAGGGGCTGGGAATCAGAACTCAGGTTCTCATGCCTTCCCACACCAAGAGCTCTTACCTAGCTCACACGTGAATTTTCATGGAAAACAACTGCATGGATACTGGCTTAATGAGGTCGTAGGACTTTTTAAAGGAATGTAGAAATTGCTGAATATATCTATGCACAATTGCCTCTAGATTGAATTATGATCACAATCTAAGATGAGAATGTGGTCTGGAGAGACAGTTCAGCACTTAAATGTGCATATTGTTTTTTTCTTTCCTTTTTTTTTTTTTTTTTTTTTTAAATGTGATTGGATGATTTGCCTGAGTGTATATCTATGCCACTTGCATGCCTGGTGCCTGTGGAGGTCAGAGGAGGCTTTGGGTCCCTGGAACTGGCAGTTGTAAGCCACTGTGTGGGTGCTGGGAATCTAATCCAAGTCCTCTGGAAGAGCAGCCAGTGCTCTTAACCACCGAGTCATCTTTCCAGTCCCCTGCATACTGTTCTTGTAGAGAACCCGAGTTTGGTTCCTAGTACTACATCATGAGGCTTACAATCAACTGTTACTCCAACTCTGGGAGTTCTGATACCTTCTTCTGGATACTGCACTCAAGTGCACATACCCATCTACTCATACATACACATAAGTAGAAATAAAATCTTAAAATAAGAGCATTCTCATTTCTCCAAGTATCATATCCACACTTGAAAGAAGCAGCTTGTATTCAATTAAAAACTCACTCAACAATCATAGTTTTGTTTTTCACTAACCCAAAGACTAGAATTATGTCAATGAAAATATGACTTTCCCTAGGCTAGAGAACATTTTTTAAGAACCAAGATGACAAGGCTTTACCTTGTGAAAGGCGTCAGGATCCCCAGGATTGAAGAGCGAGGGTAGCTTTTCCTCTAGTCCTCGAACTATTTCTGGCCACACAGAATTCACCAAGAAATCATAACCAGGAACGATAGTGCCTTTTTCACTGTGGGACAAGAGCTAAGATTAGTCAGCTTATACTTAGTGCACTGTGCTTAAATAAAGGCCCTCAGCCTAGATCTTAGCTACCTGCTTCAATTTCACTTCTGGGTCTCAGTGTCACACTGACCCTGACTCCCCCGCCACTTCCTCCAAGATTCTGTCAGGGAGAAGGCCAAGACACTGCACAAAGTTAACACAGCTCTCCCACTCCCAGGCCACCATCCAGACTCGGCTTGGGAAACAGCAACCTAAAGCCAAGCATAGTGGCACAGGTGTGCTTTCTCAGCACTCAGGAGGGTGAGACAGAAGAATTATGAGTTCCAGCCCAGCCTGGGCTACATAACAAGACTTGACATTAAAAAAAAAAAACAGTAGCCTCCTACCACAGGAAAAGCATTGCATTCAAGACACTTACTTGTAAGGCATGCAAGTTTACTAACATATCCGTTCCTAAAGCACTGTGCTTCCATCCTCTAAGAATAGATTCAGTTCTAAAATTCTATGACATTTCATGTAAAACCTTGGTCACAGATCTGGATATAAGAGGACACTAAGTTAATGTGTGTGTGCTTTGTTTTGTAGTGTCTGGAACTAGGTGCTGGATTTCTAATCTGCAAATTTAGCACTGAGATAAGAGCACACACTAAGCTCACCAGGCTGAAGCCTTGAACTTACCTTGCCACAGCTCCCCCTGTGACTTCCCGGAGAAGGCGGCAGTGGTGAGGGACAAATTCCAGGAGCTTGTGATACATGAGCTGAAGGCCACTGGGATGAGACTCACCAAACTGTCCAACGATCACCTAGAGAAGAGCGAAAACTACTTAAAAATGGCACTGGAAGGACAAACATGAACTAGATACTGCAAAGGTGAGGGGAACCTTGGGCCACTCTTCCGTTCAGCTGTTATTTTTGTTTTTGTTTTTCTGAGTCAGGGTCTCACTGTATATAGCTTGACTCGAACTCACAGAGATCGCCTGCCTCTGCCTCCCCAGTGCTGGGATTAAAGGCGTGCGCCATCACACCCAAGTCAGCCAAATAATTTTTAAATAGTAAAACCAAGCTGGTCACCTTCAGAAGCAGTTGCTATGTTTAGCTGTAGCTCTGACGTGATGTGGGGAAGGAGGAGGCTAGGTGGTGGAGACTAGCCTGAGACTGAAGTACCTGCTTCCTCCAGAACATGTCTAGATTAGAGAGAGGGGCCCATTCCAGTTTCTCACAGCCTGACCCTTGGCCTCTTCTATCACTACTAGGCTTAGGGTAAAGTATGAGACAAATGAAAATATAGTTCATTTCAATATTTTATTTTGGTTATAGGGTTGAAACTCAAAATATCATATAACAGAAACTTTAAGTTTTAAAAGTGAGGGGGGCTATAATTCACTTAACACTATCTTTAAGTGAGAAATGTCTTCCATAGGCTCATATTTGAATACTTGGTTCCCAGAGGTAGAGCCTTGTGGAGGAAGTGCTTCACTATGGATGGGCTTTGAGGGTTTACAGCCTTACCCTACTTCCTGCTCCTGCTCTCTACTACCTGTATGTGGATAAAAGTGTGCTCACCCAGCTTTCTGCTCTTGCCAGCACGCTAAGCCTTCTCTGCCATTATTAACTCGATCCCTCTGGAACTGTAAGCTAAAATAAACCATCTTCCTTAAGTTGGTTTTGGTCATAGTGTTTACCACACAACAGAAAGCAAGCTAATACACTCTATGGACCCGTGGACTTCAATGCTCCTTCATTTCAGCACTGCAGACTCACTTCAGTGAAAGGCACGGGCTGTATCTGTAACTGAGCTAGCCCAGTGGCTTGTAAATGCCAGTACAGCTGGTTCTCTTCCCTCCACAGACAGCTACAGAGTGTAACAAGATAAAAATGTGGGAAAATGAAAACTTACTTCAGCAATTCTAAGCTTGTCCAGGACTAAAATTAATCTCTATACTTAATCTCAAAGACGTACAGTAGCAGAATGAAGGACAGCCCTCGAGAGACTGGCCAAACATCTGCCATCACAAATGCTGACAGTTCCCAACAGAACACATAACTCCTACCTGATCATTAATCCAGCAGGTGAAGGACATCTTCTAAGTGTCCCACTGTCGGGTTGATGTGAAGTCCTTCATCTCTGATTCCCACCTTCCTAGCCTGACAATCCCTCCCTGTTTCTCAAGTCTGGACCAGTGTCTTCCATTCCCTAAAGAGCTGTGGACATATGGTCTGCCTTCCCTTCCACATGCCTCATTGCTCTGGGCTCTGTGGTGCTGTACCAGCTACTTGCTTGTCTAGTCCACCTATAAGACCAGTGGTTGTTTTCGAGTGACTTAACTGGGTATGACACATCACTTTAACAGAGCTAATGTTCTGACCCATGCCTTCTCTTAACCCCACATAAGAAGACATATCTAAGCTGCATCATGAACACCCATCAGAATGCACTTAGTTCCAGTACCAACTGTGCAGCAGGACCCTTCCTAGCTAGCGCGCAGAAACAAGCTCCTTGCATCTCTGGTGTATCCATCTCTACCCCACACAAAGCGAAGGCAGCACAGCATGGCTCTGTATAAGCTCCCCACACCAGAAGCACTTACCTCATCAACGTATGGCTTCACCAGGACTTGGCCAACCAGAGCTTCTGCGTCCCGTGTCTTGTCAATGGTGGCATAGGTCCGCAGGCAGTGCCGGATGATGTCCACATTTGAGGTCTGCAAGCCTTCCAACAGGAGGCCTTCTAGGGATTGCTGCAACATTGCTGTGATGCCAGCTATGCGCTGTGGGGAGCCATCAGAAAGCTCACATCACAGTGGTTTCCAAACTTCAAATGGCTGTACACATATTGGTACCTGACCCCACAGAAAGCAGTATGTGGACATTTAAAAGGGGGAACCCTGCCTGGGGTAACAGCCTATCTCCTTCCATGACCTTTCTCCAAGTAGAACACCGGCTCAGCAAAGAATTTACAGAGAGACAGTCAGAATGAGAAAATGTCATTTTCTCTATAGCTACAAGGTAAAATTGGTTTCTGATAGACATTATAGATTTAAAGCTCAGCCAAGGGGCTGGGGAAATGGCTCAGCCATTAAGAGCACTTGCTGCTCTTGTAGAGGATCTGAGTTCAGTTCCTAGCACCCACACCAATGACTTACAGCCACTCTCTTCCGACCTCTATGGACAGCTGTAAACATATACACACTCAGGCATGCACACAGAGGCTAAATGGTTTAACATTTAAAGAAAACAAAAAACAAAAAAAAAACAAAACCAAAACCAAACAAAACAAAAAACTCAGTCTAGGGATTTGGGAAAATTCAACATTATCTGTGCCATATGGTGTCAGATTTAGAATGGTACTCTTACAACTTAGAGAATGTGAGTTAGTCTTTCCACAAAATCTATAGTGAATGACACTTGGAAAATAGGAGTCAAAAACCAAACTCCAAGCCTAGGGTCAACATCCTGTAATTCACAATCAGTGCCAGGCATGCTGCTAACCATTAAATAAGGTTCTCTGCACCCAGAGCCCAACCCCAACCCACACTTACGGGTCTCACTTTGTCCAAAAGGGGCATGCCCTTGCTTTGCACAGCATGAAACTGAAGCTGGTTAAATTCCGTGGCAATTCTCTCCAAAACCTGTCCAGTCAAGAGTGGGCTGAGAGAGACAACAAGCAGAGAATTTAATTGCAAGGCTGTTGACTTTCCAGAGAACATGGCACCTGACTGCCCATATAGGTCCAAACCACAGTGTTCAGCTTCCAGACAAGTGGTGCTTGGCTTTAGGACAGTGGCCGCCTTGCCACAGGGTCAAAATCCATCTTTGTGCCATTTGTCTGTCTCCTCCAAATGGCCCATTCCAGCTGCAGTGGGCCACTGGTAAAGCGAATGTGACTGCTGCTAGGCCATCTGCCTCAGGACCCCAGGATCCAGGGTGCCATGTGCCCCTACCTTCTCTAAGCCCCCCTCCCAACTGCCCTCGCCGTCCCTGCTTTGACTGTATGTCTCTCTTTCCTGAACCTTCTCTCCTTCTTCACTTGCTCGTCTCTCTTCTTCTGAAATACCTGATTTTTTTTTGTTTGTTTGTTTGTTTGTTTTGTTTTGGTTTTTCGAGACAGGGTTTCTCTGTGTAGCTTTGTGCCTCTCCTGGAACTCACTTGGTAGCCCAGGTTGGCCTCGAACTCACAGAAATCCGCCTGGCTCTGCCTCCCGAGTGCTGGGATTAAAGGAGTGCGCCACCACCGCCCGGCAACCTGATCCTTCTTAAACACCAAATGCTTTTGTCTCTTTAATAAAGTTGGCCCAATAGTAATAAATAAAATCTCTTAAATACCTTCCTATTTAAACAATAGCTTAAAGTTATGTTACCAATACTGAAAGAGCACTCTCAGTGTGCTGTGGGTCCCAGAGAGAAGGCATGCAGTGAGTAGCTGCCACAAAATACAGTGTAAGCACCTGTCCCCTGAAACAGGGTATAAAGTACCACTGACACTCGAGGAGGAGGAAAACAGCAAAGGAGAAATGTATTATTTTACTGGCGGAATGGTGAGCTAGGAAAATGTCCCTAGCACAAGGACACGGGAAATATCACAGTGAGGCCATTGGACTGCCTGGCCCCAGACTGTCAAATCAAAACTCGTTCAGAGTGGAGGCGAAAGGCTGCCCAGTAGATGCTCCTGTCTTTAGTGTCTGCAGCTCTTCTCCTGGAGCCTGGGGCTGTTTATGTCTAGTGTGTAAACACCCTCCACCTAACTACTCACTAATCTGCCCGTCTTCCCTTTGCTACAGGGACAAGGACTGACCTGAGCTAAGCAAAGCTTTCGGAGGTGATCCAGAGCAAAGCAGGCACAGTGTCACAGTGAAGCTCATCCCCAGGGCAGCTGGAAGCCCACTCTTCCCTAGGGCCCTGTCCACACCTTTGCTGGGAGCCTACCAGCAACGGAGACTGGCAGTGAGGACTGGCCCGATGCCAGGGCCTTACAGTCCGACAGGGAAAGCACTCAAGTCCACCAATAGCTTCTGTTCCTGGTGGGTGTCTGCGAGCCCAATGGCAGAAGGGAGGTGAGGTCAGGGGAGGCTTCTGTGGTAACTTCTGTGTGTACTGTCTGCACATTTTGATGCAGAATTGCATGGAACTTTCAAGAGCAGGAGAGACCAACAGTATCCAAGACAACAGAACATGGCACAAACAAGCCCTCCACATTTTCAACTTTTAGTTCCATTTAGCACAGTGTCACACCACCTTTCCATACCTCGTGAATGTTCTGGGTGAATTTGGAAACATGTTAAGTGAATTGGGCAGTCAAAGGAAGGTGACCAGGAGAGAAAGGCACTCAGAAAGATGGACAGGGGTCTAGACACTGGGCTCAAGCCTGGAACCTGCTGTAGTCAGGGAACCACAGCTCTGGAGAATGTAGAAGTGATGAAGGGAGGCTTGGGGATTTGAATTCCCAGAATGACTAAGCACAGGAGAATCTTTAGGATCATATGGCAGAGTCCTGTGCTAAAAGGGTGGGAGGCCAGGCCTGAATTTGGTAGAGAAGAAAGTGAGAGGAAGCAGATGCAGCCATGACACAGCACCAGCCTGCAGCTCCAGCCCAGTGCCCAATGGAGATGAGCAAACACTGAGAACTGCTCCGCCAGGGCCAAGCTGGCACTAGAGTAAGGGAGGCATGGGTTCTAGAGATGAGAAAGGGAGGAGAGGGAAAAGAGAGCAGTTTCACTGGAGAGAGCAGGAGAAAGAACACAACACTCATTTCCTGAGACAAGGGAGAAAAGCAGAGTGGAGCTCTTCTGCCTTGGAGAGAGTCAATTTCTCACTCGATGAGTGCATGTGTCTGAAAAATGGCTGGAGAGGCTTTGGTGGGGTCAGACCAATCCCAAACCAAGACTGGTACAGCTCATGTGCAGCTAACAGTTCAGCATCCCTGGTAAGGTTCCAGGAGGTTTCCTGGGATGTGTGTTAGGGTGGAGTTCCGAGACTGCACCCTGGATTGAGCAGGAACGAGAGGAAGGGCAGCACAACAGGTGTCCAGGAAAGAAGCTGGGGGTAGGGTTAGGTGCTGACTGAGGACAGGCTGAGAAGGACTGTCACGGTGTGGTGCAGAGCAGGCAAAGCAAAGTCAACACCACCGGCCCTTCAGCATCCATCTCCCAAATGCTGGGATTATAAGCAGGTGCCAGCACACCTGGCCGAGTCACTTTTAAAAACAGTACACCAGACTCAGATATTCTTTGTTTTGAGTCTCACTCAAGAAAATCTTAGCCTGGATGTGAAGTACCTAGTGAAAACACTTACCTGCTTGCTTCTAGTGAAGACGCATCTTTAGAACTTTGAGAGTTTAAGATTTTTTCAATTTTCTCAACTGATCGAATAACTTGAATAAGTCTCAACACACTCATCTATAAAGAGGATGACAAATAAGAACAAACAAACAAAAAAGCAGTTATCAGGATGTTGAGAGGCAAAGATCAACATTATACATTTTAAATATTCTTACATAATCCCGAATTCCCAAGAATGTAAACTCAATTCTGGCTTTCCTACAGTGAAATTTCAAAATTCTATCCTAAGATTACATTAAGTAACACAAAATAAGATGGCAAGTTATTTTGCCAGCCCTTATACTTATTTTCTCAAGATCTATTCTCATGTTTTTCGTTTCCAATAAACTCATCTTCTTTAGCTGCATGAGCACAGCACACCTACATACCCAAGTGTCAGTTCATTAAAGACACTTATGACAAAAGTCCACAGGGACAACAGGAGACACATGGTACAATAAGATGATGCCCAGGCTCCCCAGAACATGGAGCCGCTGGCAGATACTGAGCTCCTGTCTCTTACAGTGCACAAGAACACCCTCTGTGATGGGGACAAATGGCATGCTTGCTAAGCTTCCCTGTGGGGTGCTGCTATTTAATTTATTTAATCTAGTGACCACTCAGGCATGTCTCCAATTTTGTCTTCCTTCAGTAAGTCCTGACGATGAACATAAGAAGCCTGGGAGGGGTGTTTGTAGCGTGTAGCATATCACTTTAAAACATTAATGCTACTCCTCTCTCCTTATTCACAGACCAGGCATAAGAACACCTCGGTACTGCCCTTAATGGCTGCACAAAGATACTGATGTCATCATGCTCCTCTCAGTAGAGTACCCAGAGAGAAACCACACACCCTACAGAAGTGATAATGCACTAGACTGAACCAATGTTTAGAGGCAGACATCAGAGCATACCTTTTTCTTCCTAATGTCTTCTTGCTTAGACAGTCGTTCATCTACTGCCAGAATTCCTTCACTGACAGATGACCTAAGACTCTTGAAAATAATAAAGAAAATGTTTTGCAAAAATGAAGTATAACATTATAAAACTGACACATTCAATTCTATTTCGTAAGACTTGGTGTACCCAGGCCAATATTTAGAGATGAACAAAGATTACAAATCATGAGACAGAATCACTGTGAGGCATCCAGGATATGGAGGCACAGTGATATACAAAGCCAAGGTCATAGCAGACTAAGTGCCAAAAAAGGTAGCACAGAGGAGACACTACAGACAGCTGGAGTGGAGAAAGGGCAACCAAAGCCTGTGGGATTTAAAGACATGGTGTAGACCCTGAAAATCTGCAAACAAGCCCAGGGAAGAGTCTTAGAAGGCCAAAGAAATGAGGACAGCCCCACTCAGGGTAGGTGAGGCACATCCTGGTATCACAGGCTTCCCTTTCAAGAGAAGGAGAAACTGGGAGTGAGTGTTGGCTTCTTTTTGGGTAGACAGGAATCTACACAAGAAATATGAATAAAGCATTATAAGAATGGGGAAATTCAGGAATCAAGAAGCCAGGAGCAGGAGGCCAGAAGAACAGAGAGACACAAAAAATCCAGAAGCTACTGAATTAGGTCAACTAGGAGATAATCAGGAACGAAGGCAGTGAAAGCTAGAATGAAGTGGGGAGGTCACAGAAACTCTACAGAAAAGTCAATTAGGAACCACTGCAATCCTGGCTACCGACAAGCTAGACAACGGCAACCTCCATCCCATCGCAGGATCGATCTCAAAGGCCTGCAGCAGGGCTGAGGATCAAAAACTCAGCAGTGTTGGCTAAGGTGATGGCACACGGTGGAGGCAAGGCAGACAGTAGAGCAGAGGGGAGGTCTGAGGTGAGGAAGGAAGGGAGAACAAGCCGGCATGAGAGCTGGCCTCAGGCAGAGGACAGTTAGCTGCCAGTCAGTGCCACAGAAGGCTGAGAGATGGGGCTCTGGGAGCTCCAGGTAGAGTCATAAGGATGTGGAACCCAGCAGGGGACCACAGAATCATTCCCCTTCATTCTGTGGAGAGTGACTCAGAAGAGCTTCAGAAAAACAACCAAGACATCAGCATCCACACTGCTTGTGAGTTCAAAGCCCAGCTCAGGAGGTAACACCACAGGCCTCCTTCCTTGAGACACCTGACACTGACAAAATTTTCCCAGCACTAAACACGTAATGAAGTCCACCTGTCACATGTTCAAATATGGTCTATGGTTTTTCAAGCTCATGGTGACACACATAGGCCACCTAGGGACAGAATACCAAGTACATTGCAGCTCCACAGTGCCAAAGGGCCTGGCAGTCAGAGGGCCTCAGACAACTGGGGGGTGGACCAGGAGGCAAAGGACGGGGTGGCACAGTGACCTACTCCATGACACCAAACTCCCTATAGTGTTCACCCTTCCTCGCACTGCACGGTACGTCAGAGAAACATTACAACTCTTGTGCAAGGGTATGCCACTAACTAGGAATCAGCTCTCAGTGCCTTCAGGGGTTAAAGAGCTCTGTGGGCAGGCTGGGAACCTAACCACATATCAATTCTCACCTGAGAAAATACTTATAAAATAGAAAAGGCTTAGGACCTACACCAGCTCTGACCCAGTGACTGGTCACTAACAGGCTGAACCTCCACCCCACCTCCTCCAGCCACTTTGAAGCCATCTACTCGAAGACTCTGTTGCCTTTACACCAGTCATGCTGCAGACTGTAATATCACATGCTAAAACCAGAATCATTTATCTGCAACTTTCTGAGATGTAGACTCTAACTACTGACCACTGAAAAACAACAAACCGACAGACCAGGAGTTCTTGGACCCCTAAGCAGTCAGGGTATCATGCTTTATGCTATACCATTTACTAAGAGTGGGGGAACTTACCAGAACCTCTTCTCGTAATTGTCCCAAAGGCACAGAAAGCTGGTTGAGGGCTCTGTCCATGCCGACCTAGAGGCAAAATCATGATAGCTCAAAATCATCAGTCCTAATCCAGTGTAACGATCTGTGTAACGATCGAAGTGTCCATGATCACTGTTGGCAGAGTACAGAAACGATTGTGGCTATACATGTAGACCATGAGAATAAGGAAGTCAGAGTACATAAAGTCTCCTTACACACAACTTATCTCTGGGTGATTTGGGGTTTTCTGTGATGCCAGGGTGAACTGAGTGCAAGTGCTCACCACTGAGGTCTGGACCTCGGGGCAAGTTTAATGACCAAAGGTTTCAACCAGAAGGGACTGTTATTTTCAACTGGCTTGGTGCCAAGGTCTGATGAAGGACATCTTACTTAAATCCTTTAAGTCTTGGGGGAAATCCAAATTAAACACGATGAAAATAAAACTTTCTAAGTTTCTAATTCTACTGGAACAATCAGTCATCTTAGTAACTACAACACAAACACAGTTCATTCATTTTCATGTTTCTTAAAATTCCCAGAGGGTGTATTTTCTATATTTCTTTGGACAAACATTTAAAAGCAAAATAAAATATGAACAAGATTTAAAAAAAAAAAACCCTCAAAGAACTGTTTGAAAGTTTTAAATTGAGCATTCCTATACTGCTCTGATAAGCAGCTGGCATGGTCCTCACCATTCACGAAGGCTGGCCTTCTGAAGATCAATGCTGGCCCTGCTTCCTACTAGCATGTGCATACATATGTGTCATGCCAGTGAGTAGGCTCCCACCAAGAGTGGCTGTCATGTGCTCAGGCAGAAGAGCCTAACCAATGGGACTTCCTGTGAACCTCTCAGCACCCAACAAAAATGGCCTCTTGCTGCCCCTCCTTTTACTACACTCACAGTTAATAGTCAATACCCACTCAAAAATAAGCAAGCCACATTGGGCATGGTGATGCACACCTATAATCCAGCACCCCAGAGATAGAGGACTGCTGCAAGTTTGTGGCCAGTCTAGGCTGCACAGTTAAGTTCCAAGACAGCCAGGTCGACAGATTAAGACCTCATTTCAAAAGTTAGGCATGGTAGCACACACCTTTAGTCCAGCACTTGGGAGGTAGAGGCAGGTGGATCTCTGAGTTTCAGGCCAGCATAGTCTACATATAGAATGTCAGAAGAGCCACAGCTATAGAGAGAGACATTGTCTCAAAAACAACAACAAAAGGCTTTCTCAGGAAAATCAAAAATACAAAGAGAATAATAAGGTCACAGTAGTTTTAAGTGAGCAAGAATTAACCTGAAAAACACCATTCAAGTTTTGTTCTTCTGTAACTGACATTAATGAGTGCCTGGACCCTGAAACTTTGATTTCTAAAATACTGCACTTTTAGGAACCAACCCACACAAATGAGGACCTGTGTATCACACCAGTGGTAGGGACTATGGAGGGAAGCTCACCAGGTTGGTTGAGAGGTTGACAAAGTCCGCATAGTCCTTGTTGATGAGCTCCACCATGGCTGTTTTAAGCAGCTTGTAATACAACTCCAGGTCATCTCTCAACTCTTCCAGCTGCACCCGCTTCCTGCAGTCAGACACAAAATGATCCACGTCGAAATCCTCCTGGAAAGAGCAGGAGAGCCAAGTTACTGGTACATGAAAACAGGAGGAGGAAAGGGCCATTCTACCACTCACGAGGCCCATCTGTCCCGAGCCCTTTCTGGTCACATGCTGCGACAGAGGTGCCTGTCCACTCACGCAGGTGCCCAGAAGGGCTAAGGGCAGTCTCCTTGTGGTCTCATTCTACAGGGAATTTAAGTTTCGAAAATGATACAATTCAGTTAAGGCTCTTCTAAAAACAGAAACAGCTTTCCTCCCTAACTTTCTAAGTATTAACTATTCAGTGTAAAATTTTTTTTTTTTTTTTTTTTGGTTTTTCGAGACAGGGTTTCTCTGTGTAGCTTTGCGCCTTTCCTGGAACTCACTCTGTGGACCAGGCTGGCCTCGAACTCACAGAGATCCGCCTGCCTCTGCCTCCCAAGTGCTGGGATTAAAGGCGTGCGCCACCACACTAGACTATGAAAAATAGCAAAGAAAGAAAAAAGAAAACAAAATCTTCATGCTTTATAAGATATACACCACTGAACTATTTTTCACTATTTAACATTGTGCTTCATATGTTCTAAACCTTTTTTTAATGTACACATACACCTGCACACATGCACCTAACACTTTTCTCCCCAGACAACAACACATCTTTGGTGTTATTTCACAGCACACTTGAGTGGGCACTGACATGTCCACAGAATGGGCTTCTGTGGACCAGGTATGGAGGCAGCACTTCCCACTGTGGTCCCTCAGGCTAGCCACGCTCTTAGCTTCTCCTCACAGCATCAGAAGCTCCTGGTAAGCTGATGCACTTACAGTGGGCAGGTTCCTACCTACTTCGCCTGCGACTGAGCCTCCCACTAGTGGAGGTGCTCCATCACCAAGATTCAGGTGTAATGGTTCCCAAACATGTTAAGGCCCCAGAATATATTATTAAAGATCACATAATTCCATTACACACTATAAATCAAAACATTACAACTGAAAAGAGGTGACCATTTTCATGAACAAGAAAGCAGGTGCTTTGGAAAGACTGGAAACAGGCAATTTGCTAAACCAAATCTTATTGAATCACATACGGGTGGCATAAACCCAGCAGGGCAGGGGGTGGGGAAATCACGAACCCAGAAGACTGTAGCAGATCCTTTGCAAATGCCCACAGGTTCTTACTCCACTGAGAGAAAAAAAGTGAATACAAAAAGACCATACTGAAATGGAACCAGCAGATGGATTGTAGAGTCATATCAGTGTAGAACAAATGATTACATCACTATCTTAAAATAAAATACTAAGGTCTGTATACACCATTTCTTCAGGTACCAGTTAAAACTTCAGTCAACCAACCAAATACCTGCCCTGATCATAGCCAAAAAGGTTTTTTCCCGAACCAAAGCATCATAGCCACCTACAGAAAAGCCATCTGCTTCTCCATGTGCAGCCACAATCAGCCTGGATGGTTTGGGAGAACATGGCCCACAACCCCAGCCTTGGTATAAACAGGTATATGACCTTGGGCAAGACATTATGACAAATGAACTGTCTTATTCTAAGTGACTTATTTAGGGTTGCTTGTCACAGCAAAGCTACCTGATGTAGAATCAAAGGTATTCTAAGTAGCTTGGTTCTATCCTTGGTCTTAGCCAAAAGGCTAGGAATCAATAGTAACTTGGTTTACTAAGGCCAAGAGTTCAAATTCAGCTTGGGTTAGACAGCAAATCACTGTTTAAAACAGAAAAGAAATAGAAAGCGAAGGAAGAGAGCATCTGATCTGCATGGTTGAGCAAAAAGAAGGGTCTAGCTCACTGTCCTAGAGCTGTGCAGGGGGCGATGGGACCAGTGACAGCCTGCTGTGACTTTAAGAGTGGAAGATGAGTATAATGGATGACACTGTCAACTTGGCAGGATGAAGAATCACTTAGGAGACAAATCTCTGGGCATGTCTGTGAGGTGTTTTCTAGAGAAAGTAAGCTCAGCATTGGCATTCATCACCTTCTGCCTCCTAAGTGCAGGTGCAAAGTGACCAAGCAGCTGCCTTAAGTTCTGCCACCATTTCTCTCTGCCATGGTGGACTGACGGTATCTCCTCACACTGTAAGCTGAACCAAACCCTTCCTTAAGTTGCTTTTTTTCAGGTGTTTGGTCACAGCAATGAGAAAACTAATACAGTGAGACACCAAAGACAACTCTCTAGCCAAAAGCTGTGTGTGTGCCAGTCAATAACTGAGGTAGAGAAATGAGTAGAGAACTAGAACCAGGTGTGGTGGTTTGAATGAAAATGACTCCTATATGCCCTTGGGCATGGCACCATTATCGAGTGTGGCCTTGTTGGAGGAAATGTGTCTCTGTGGAGGTGAGCTTCGAGGTTATATATGCTCAAGCTAGGCCTGGTACACAGACAGACTCCTTTTGCTGCCCATGGATCAAGACGCAGAACTCTCAGCAGCTTCTCCAGCACCATGTCTGCCTGCACACCACGTCCCGCCAAGATAATGGACTAAACCTCTGAAACTGTAAGCAACCCCTAATTAAATGTTTTTCTTTATAAGAGTTGCTGTGATCATGGTGTCTCTTCACAATAATAGAAACCCTAAGACACCAGATAAGAATAGTCATCAGAGAGGCTTCATCCAACAACTGGTGGAAACCGATGCAGAGACCCACAGTCAAACATTAGGTCGAGCTCAGGGAATCCTGCTGAAGAAAGGGAGGAATGATTGTAAGAACAAGAGGAGTCAAGGACAACACAAGAAAACCCAAAGAATCAACTAACCTGGGCTCATAGGAGCGCCCAGAGACTTAACTGACAACCAGGGATCCTGCATGACACTGACCCAAGCCCTCTGCATCTATATTCCAGTTCTGTAGCTTGATCTTCTTGTGGGTCTCCTAACAGTGAGTGCAGGGGCTGCTGTTTCTTTTCCTGGCTTTTGGGACCCTATTCCTCATGCTGGGTTGCCTTCTCAGCCTCAATATCAAGTTGCTTAGTCTTTCTGCAACTTGATATGCCATGTTTTGTCAATATCCATGGGAGGCCTGCCCTTTTCTGGATAGAAACGGAGGAGGAGTGAATGGGGCAAGGGAGGTAGAAGGGAGGTAGGGGAGGGATTGGAAGGAGAGGAGGGTGGGAAAACAGTGGTCAGGATTAAAATAAATAAATAAATCGATAGATAGATAAATAAATCCATGGGGAAAAAGGCACCAGGTAAGTCCAAAAGCAACCACTGACCAAGTAGTTTCTAAACTTGCACATTTTTCCTCTTACCATGCTCAACAGTCACACCACACCTTTCTGTCCTTGTCTTCAAATCTAGATTTGCAGTTGCCACACAGTAGGTGATCAATGAATGCCTGTGGGTAAGTAGACAATTGCTACCACGGCACTAGCAGGTTGTCATCATGGCAATCTAATAACAGTTTTCAAACAAATGACTGTAATTCGTGTAGTCTCAACTCTCCTAATGTGTATCTGATAACCTTGTAAAAAATATATGCCACTGCAAAATATGCTGAACAAGATACAGATGTCTACGTACAATCTGCATAGCAGGCACTCCTCCTGCCCTTTCTGCCACCAAACCAACTCAGAAAACGTTTCTTTAAAGGAAATGCAAATAACAAAGGACCTTAACTTCTGGCTCCACCTAGAAAACCAACACCACACACAGAAAGGCTGTTCTGTGTAGTTTCCTCTACCGTCGATCCGGTCACGTTAACAGAACCGTAAATTGACTGGCATACTCAGAGGTTTGATGGCATGAACTAGCATGGACGTGCCAGCAGCCGCTCATTCCCCCAGCTGGCTGTGTGTTGTTTCACGACTTGCATTTCGTGCCATCTACTTTCTGATGCCGCATTTAACAGAGGCATCATGTCAGTGTGAGAAAGACATAGTAGGTAACGAGGCAGAAAGGCGGCTGGCGCTAGGCATGCAGGAGGCATTTAAGTTTTCTCACCTAAGGTCAAAACAGGCCATGATCCCTGGGTGAGCTTTCTTCCTCCAGACACCTTTCCCATCATGCACCTGTGGCTCTTTCTATCCTTGGTAGCTCTTAGTCATGGGACGGAACAGGGGCTTTCTGAATCATTCTTTCAGGCATCCGACTTGAACTCATTTATTGGGGCTGGTGAGATGCACAGCAGGTAAGAGTGCTTACTACTCTTGTAGAGGGGACCAGAGTTTGGCTCCCAGCACTCAGAACCCACATGGCAGCTCACGAGCACCTGCAACTACGACTCCAGCTAACCCAACAGTCTTCTGGCCTCTGAGGACTTCTGCACACACTGTGCACATAAACTCAGGAAGGCAAACACACATACACATAAAATAATAAATCTGCAAATTACACTTACTTCGGTGGCTTAGTAATGTCACTACATAAGAGTGCTTCATCCCTGGCTCTAGACACGCCTCTCTCACATGGAAAAGTATGTGGGCACGGTAAAGAAGACTCATACAAATTAAAACCAAAAATCCAGAGCTTTGCTCATGTAAACTGAATGCAAATATCAAAACAGGGCTAGGCCAATTAAGTCAGAGGGAAAAATTACCACGAGAAAGGAGAATCACACACACACACACACACACACACACACACACACACACACACTATACTGTAAGATTTACACTTATTTGCTCAATATTTTAGGTGCCAAAGAGACAAAATTTCTAACTCCCTAACCCTGAAAACAGCTTTGAAGTGGTCCCTCAAGACTCAACTTTTAACACATTAAACGGCACAACCTGTAGACTCTCAGCCCTTGGGAAGCTTGAGACAAGAGGATCGAGACCCGCCTGGGCTACAACTCAAAACTCTGTCTCAAAATAGAAATTGAGTGTAAACATGTTTTGGGGATATTTTAAGTGACAACAGCGGAGGGATACAACTAACAGGGCAAACTTCTTCAGTTCCGGCTCAAAGCCTGAATCTTTTCTAGGCTGTGCCTGCCGGGTGAAATTCTATCAGTGAAGTGTTTTCCATTTGGATTTGTAAGCAGGGCAGCCTCTGGGCTGCAGGGTGACGAGGCTGTCAAGCTCCCATTCCTTAACGTCAGAGTGAAGTTCAGCTTGGACACCCCCGCTCCCTTCTTCCCCGAGTCCCTACGACCCGCGGGAGCCTCCGGGAACCGCAGGGCCTCGGCGTAGGGCCTCCTCGGCGGCGGACCTGCCGGTGTCCCTCACCTTCATGAACTCGTCCTTATCGAAGCACAGCGTGTCCGGCCCGGTGGGCAGGTTCATCCTGCGTCTCTCCATCACGCCGGCCGCCGCCCCTCAGCTCCAAGACTCCGCTGGCAAGGAGGGCGCAGGCGACACCGCAGGGGACGCGGCAGTCCAGCCTCTGCACCGCGCTGGCCCTGCTTCCGCCAGTATGGCGGTGACGCGCGGCAGCCAATAGACGAGCGTCGCGGGCGCCTGCGCACAGTTGGCAGTAGGAGAGGCGCGCGCGAGGCCGACCCTCGCAGCCGGGCGCTACTGCCTCCGGTGGTCGAGAGCGGCACTGCAGCCTCACGTACTCGCCTAAGCGTCTGGCCCAAGAGAAATGTCAAGGATCAGAACAAGCCTTGTTTTTTTACCCTGGGGAAGAGTCCCAGAGCTGCCTCCTCCGTGGAGAAAACGTCACCGCCCTTAAAGATGGTCCTTAAAAATCGGTCAGAGGAGCCGGGCTGTGGTGGCACAGAGGCAGGAGGATCTCTGTGAGTTCGAGGCCACCTGGTCTGCAGAGCTAGTTCCAGGACAACCAGGAGACACACGAAAAAACGTGTCTTGGGGGAAAAATGCTATCGCTCTGCATTTCAGGTTACCCCAAACATGAAACCATCCCTCTAACTGAATGTAGGGGTAAAATTTAAAGACCTTATTGCCGGAGCCTGCCCTGGATTGGCAGGCCCCCTTAAAGTGACTCCCCAAAGTGTCTAGAGAAGTCACGATACACAAGGATGCACGAAGTGGACGGCACTCTATGCCCCTAATATGCTTGTGGGGGAGTGAGCAAAGAAATTCTTGTTTTCTTTTTAACATTTTATTCTTATTAGGAAGTCTTCCACTCATACAAGTCTAGTATGACCACGCTCCAGTAACTCCAGCCTGTCCCCAGGTTCTCTTTACTCAGGGCACCACCACCATGGCTGTCATTGGGAGATATTGCTAGAACACTCCCCAGACATCCTGGTTATCAATTCATCGGGTGAAAGAACAAATCAACGAAAAAAAACTATTCTTACCAACTGAAAATATCATCCTCGCACCTAATAAAATGAATAGTTCTCTGCTGACATTGGATTGAGAGATACGGCCTTCAGCCCCTATCTATAATTACAAAGTGACAACTTGGAAGCACCAAGGGAGGGGCCCAGGTGCTGGCAGAGAAAGAAACAAAGACTCCTGGGAAACCTGTCTGGTCCCTAGCAGGTGGAGTAGAACTTGCCATTCCCTTCTGACACTGTTCTCCACCCTTTATCAAAAAAGTAACCTGAACATGTATGGCCTAGTGTGCTAATCTTGGGGCTGCTAAAGGGTCCGGTGGCACAGAAGAATGGGCAAGGGTCCTGGTGCCTATTTGCTTTCCCAAGATTTGGTAGGGAGCAGCCTGGAGTCCATCGTAAGGACTGCCATTCTATGCCAGCACACCCCAGCCAGGGCAGCAGATCAACTTTGGCGCTAATGGAGCCCCCATGGCAGTGGGAGAGGGTGGAGCCCAGACCTGCCCAGAGAGCGTGGTCTTGATATCTAACCCAGAGCTGACACTCACCTGGCCTGCCCATTTCCTGCTGTGTTACTCAGTGCAAATGGCAGCTCCTCAGGCGTTGGTGAACAGCCTCTCTGCAGAGCTGGCTGCACACCTGCTGTTTGTACTTACTCCTTTGCTGGTGAGCAGCCATTCGGGGGTCATGCCAGCTTCCCACTGCCTGGTGCCTAGGCTTTAGGTATGCATCTCCTGCTGCATATTTAAGCACATAGTTAATTCTTCATTGTCAGCTTGGCTGGATTTGGAATCACCTACAAGGCATACCTCCAGGCGTGTTTGTGACCGTCTTTCCAGAGACGTTTGAGGAAGGAAGACCTACCCTGAATGTGAGCAGCACTATTCCTCGGACTAGTGCAAACTGACTAAAAAGGAGAGAGCAAGCTGAGTGCCGGCATTCATCTCTCTCTCTCCTTCCTGACTGCAGATATCACGTGACCAGCTGCCTGCGCTCCAGCGTCCATGTCGTCCCTGCCAAGGTGGACTGAATGCTGAAACTTCCTTCTTTAGTTACTTATTATGCCATATTTGGCCACAGCAACAAGAAAACTAATGACTACAAGTACCGTCTCTGGTAATGATGCCTCTCTCACGGTACTTGAAAGAAGAGTAATGAGGACAGGAATATGAAGCTGAGTATTGCCAGGCTCAATAAGGGGTCAACATGCCTAGTGTCCTGTCCATCTCTGAGCTACATCTTCCCTCAGGAGACTTTACGTGGACACATTTTTTTTTTTTTTGTCTTGTTAAGGCTCTCCTGTTCTTTGATCTCTTCCTTTCTTAGGAAGCATGCACCTGCTGCTTCATTTCTAAGCAAACAGTCCCCCGCTTCGACTTGCCGTCTCTGGAAAATTCTTAGCTCCCTACTTGCAGTGGCATTGTGACAAGTCCTGTTTCTCTCTTCCCACTCCGCCCTATTTATAGCTTTCCCGTTTTTGGCAGGTTCGCAACTGAACACTCACAAATTGCAAAGAGAAATATCACATTCAGGAAACTCATGTGGGCATTTTCTTTAGACATCACCACACAGAACAAGAGGCCTGTTATTGCTGATGACCAAGGATTTTCCAATTTTATAGGGATTGTATACTCACCCTGAAGACTGAGTATGTGGTTCTGACCTCAGTGTCCCTAGAGGAAAACAGGCAAAGCAGAGTCATTAGGGAGAGGAAGGATCACCCTCGGCTCCCAGGTCTACAAAGACTTGGGAAGCTCACGAGGATGCATCCAATCAATATTTTAAAAACCTTTCTTTGATCCTACCAGGTCTTCCCCCATTCCAGAACTGGGAATTGAACTCAAGGCCCTCAGAAGTTTGTGTGCCCCATCACTGAACTGTATCTATATCCTCAGTCTTATCTTTACTTTTTTAAAAAAAGGACTTTATTTTTAATTTTTTATTGTGTGTGTACATGAGTACAGGTACTTACTGAGGCTAGAGGGAGGCTAGAGGGAGGCTAGAGGGAGACTAGAAGCATCAGATCCCCTTGAAGCTGCAGTAACAGGCAGTTGTGAGCTGCCTGACTTGGGATTGGTAACTGAACTCGGGTCCTCTGCAAGAGAAGTGTGCATTCTAACTATTGATCCATCTGTCCAACTCCTCAAACCCCTTTGACTTTTTATTTTGAGACAAACTTTCACTAAGTTCCCAAGGTTGACCCTGAACTCACTATGTAGCACAGATAGACCTTGAACTTACGATCTTCCTGTCCCAGCCTCCCAAGTAGCCGGGGATGCAGGCTGTCCTCATTAGACGTGGCTTGACCCTATGCGTTTCTCCAGTAACTCCTGCATTTCTCTCTGCCCTCCTTTACTCACAGGACACCTGCTAAAATACATATCTAGGCTGTAGTTGCCAAGCTGGGCTATCCCTGAAAGCTCCCTGAAGAACCATGTGCATAGATAAATTGAAGTGAGTCCCACTTCAGAGTTCCTGATTCCATGTATGGTTGTCAGGAAAACTGACAGAGATGAAGCTGGGTGTGGTGGTACACACTTGCCGTCCTGGTACTCAGAGGATGAGGCAGGAAAGCGGAGGAGTTCCAGACTGGCTTGAGTTACATAGTGAGTCTGAGGTCAGTCTGGACTGCAGAGAAAGATCTTGTCTCAAAACAAACAAACAAACAAGCAACAAAAAAAGCAGAAAACACAAAGTGATTTGCCAGAGAACAAGCAGTGACCGTGCACTGTAGCTGAAGTTTTCTCCGGCAATAGAAAATCAATGGAGAGCTAGAGGTGTGGAAATTTCCCAGGATCAGCTTTTGGAGAAGGCCAATACGCTGAAATACAAAGAAATGGTTAGGAAAAGGGCTAAACAAAGGAGATTAGATTTAAAGTTCTTTGAAGAAAAAAGATATATAGAAATTATAGAATAGAGAGTAGATTATTAAATCTACTCTGAAAAGAAAAAGAAAAGAGAGAAGACGCCAGTCCACCGTCCAGGGAGCAGCATGTAATGGCACACAGGTAAAGCCATGGAACACGTGGCAACATATAGATTAACAGAAATGGGCTGAGTTTAAATGTAAGAGCTAGTCAGTGGTAGGCCTGAGCTAATGGCCGAACAGTTTTAATTAATATAAGCTTCTGAGTGATTATTTTATAAGTAGCTGCGGGGTCCGTGGGGCTGGGCAGGACCGGAGAAAACTTCAGCTACAATGCACTCCCCCCACTTTCCAGAATCACTGTCTTCCCAGCTCATGTGGTGGGCTGATACCAAAGGATGGATTGAGGTTGCATTTCAGGTAAACGCCCCTAGAGGACGATATGGGTACTGGCAACCTTTAATTCTGCATCTCTTACTTGTTCAGGTTGAAAGTTATTAATCTATTTGGGAAAGAAAAAAGAAAAAAAAAAGAGTTTGGTGGCAAATGTTGAAATCCTCTGATTTGGGTCAGAGACAGTAGTAGCCTTTTAAAATTAAATTTTTGTTTTTGTTTTTTTGAAGGACTACCAAGTTATTGTATTTTCAGATACAATAGAAAAACCCCACAAATAGAAATTTTGATTTAAATTTTCGCAGTCAGTGTGGTGTATTAAATGAAATAATTGAAATATAGATTGTCAGTGTCTTAAAAAAATCAAATTATGCCGGGCGGTGGTGGCGCACGCCTTTAATCCCAGCACTCGGGAGGCAGAGCCAGGCGGATCTCTGTGAGTTCAAGGCCAGCCTGGACTACCAAGTGAGTTCCAGGAAAGGCGCAAAGCTACACAGAGAGACCCTGTCTTGAAAAACCAAAAAAAAAAAAAAATCAAATTATGTTAGGAACATTTTCTTCCAGTGAAGTTAATTTTTTCCTATATCATCTTGCTAAAATAATGTTTTCAATCTTGTGTTAGTTAACACTGATTGTCCACTTAACAGGATCTCAGATCACCTAGGAGACAAAGCCCTGGGCATGCGAGGGCCTTTCTAGACCGGGTTAACTAAGGTGGGAAAGCCCACCCCGAATGTGGTGGCACCATCCCATGGGCTGGAATCCTAGACTGAATGAAAAGGAGAGAGCGAGCTGAGCAGCAGCGTTCATCTCTCTGCTTCCTCACTGTGATGCACTGTGAGCAGGTGCCCCATGTTCCCATTGCCATGCCCAGCCCCACGACGCTCTGCTATACCTTGGAGCATAAACCCTTCCTCACTTGGGTTGCTTTTGTCGGGTATTCAGTTACAACAACGGGACAAGCAGCTAACACACTTCATTTAATGAGTGGCAACTCACCCACCTTGTGGTGAAAGGCACATCCTGGAAATGACTTCTTCCTTTCTTTGTCCTCTGTCTAGACTGTTAGTGAGTCTTGTTAAATTTTACCACCCAGCAGGATCAAGCTTCAGGCGCCTCATGTTTGCTGAATCCAAAGCTATGTGTGCTGTTGAAGATTGAACCCAAGGCTTTGTGCATGCCTAGTGGATGCTCTACCACTGAGCTTTAGCCTCGGCTGAAACCTGTCTTTTTTTTTTAAACCTAGGCACAGCTATCAGGCTTCTGTTTGGTGCTGTACCTCATCAGCTGTTGTCTAACATGACTGACGAGTAAGATGTGGCCAAATCCAGGCTTGAGTTCCAGACTTTAAATCATCTGTCCACAAGGGGTGTGGACGGGAACCCTTTTATATTCGGTGCTAGTAGAGCCCATTTGCTCTTCTTATTGTGGGACAGAATCGCAC